CACTTCGCTGAAAAGCTGTGATGTGCTTTGAAACATTTGACGTCAATAAGGTTATTGTACCAAATGCAAGGGTTATCATTTGACATACCCCTTCCATTATTATTATTTAATGTATTGCTTTTCCCGGGGGTAATAATCCCTCCAAAAAATAATAATAAAATAAATAACAATTTGAACATTCAATCCACGACTGTTTGTGGGACACTGCTGTGCGCAAATGGCTGCCGCGTTTCACCCACACAATATACAGTCAATTCACTTTACGGTATATTCTGTGGAGTGCTTTGAAACGCCTCGAAGATGTGATAAGGCGCTATATCAAATGCAAGGATTATGATTAATATTAAATGGGTTGAATGTTTCCCAAAAAAGGATTCTGTGCATTTTTCCAGTTCAGTTTGACATTCAGTTATCGTGAGCTCACCGCTCCACCAATTCTCATGTCTCCCTTGGAACATATTCCAGGAATTCTTGTACAGCACCCGAGGCCATCTTTGATCTTCACAAAGCTTTGTTGTGTCCCAACACAATTCTGCTGTTTACATTATCCTTATTACTTGCTGTTCAGATCTCATTATTCAATCCCCTACCCTCAAAGTCTTCTGTGTATCTGGTTATGTAATCACCTGCAGATTAGCCGTCAAAGTGAAAATGGCTAACATAATAAAACGATGAATCAGGAACTGAGGAGAAAAACACAGACCAGGATAATAATAATAATAAATAATAATAATCCTTGCATTTGATTATAACGCTTTTCACGTCTTTAGATGTCTCAAAAGATGGAATAAACTTGCTTCACTTTTTTTTTGTGTTCCAATGAAATTGGTGAGCATGACCGCAAACATACCAGCTTTACGGCAGTTTTTTTAAATCAAAACCAATCGTGCCGTTTGATTTTACAATCAGACAACCGAGGTTTTCCGGGAGCACCACGACAGCAACAAACACGTGCATTTATACAGCGCCCTTCACACGGAGCAGGGTCTCGGAGCGCTTAACGCCTCAAAGAGGATACTTTGGTTTTCGCATTGCTTCACTTTCGCCCCTTTCTGTGCCGAAAGAAAGTTTAAAGACATTCTCTGCTTACGCGTGGAATTACTTCTGCATTTTTAATGTCCGCAAAGAACTGATAATCCCACTAGCTCTTCCCTAAGACTTAAAATGTAAGTGGTATTCAAGTGTTGCTCCCTCAAGCTTGCACAGTACATATATGCGAACAATATAGCTGAGCCACATAGTCTACAAACCTGCGATTGTAGTGTGTTGTGACATCCCAGGGCAGTTAACCCTCTAAACTGGCAGCTATACACCGGGGCAGTTAATGTGACTCTCTCGACTACGCCATTAAGTGGAACACAGTGTTTCACATCAGGTGACCCCAATGAAGAATCTCGCAGTACAGGATGAAAATACCGACTCAGTGAATCTTTTCCAGGGCAAGTACGCCCCGTGATGGGCATCGGACTTTATTGACATCAGTTGTAGAATCTTTATGCATATTTTATAAGATAATTAGCAGTGTCAGTGTGCCAGCATCTTATTAAACTCCACTGAAGGTATCGCTGCCAGATCAAATGGGAACAGGGCTCAGTGATATACAGATTTAATCTACAGGAAGCGGACTTGTAAAATTTCCCATTATGCAAGTTTCTTCCTGCCCCGCATGATGCTTGTTTGAAATGCTTTACTGCCCCATGACTTACGATCCCTCTAAAAGAACTGAAGGCATTCATCGCAGGAGGGCACAGACATTAAAGGAATATAACTGCTATTTGGTCAGTCTCTCTTCTAAACAACGTTAGCTTGTTTTCCGAAGGTTTCATTGTTTTCTGCGGAAGCATTTTGGTCAATGACATTCCTCTCCCCCACCCCACCCACCCCACTCTCCCACCGCCACCATCCCTTTTTCTGGTAAATGCAAGAGGTGTAACTTACTTGCTCATCTGCATTGAAATAGGCGTCACGAAACAGATTAAATATTCAGGTCGTGAAAAATACAGTATTGCTGCCTACCGACACTCAAGAGTAGTGTAGCTTAGGTAGTAAGGATATTGTATGTCATTTTCCCCCATTGAGGGGGCCAAGCCTTCAGCTCCTACACCACTAACCTTTGAACTCCCTCCCTCTACCACCCTGTCTCGCCCCGTCTCTTTAAATCCACCTCAAATCCTCCCCTCCGAATGTGCCTAAGGTCCCCCCCCTCCCTCTCCATATCCAACCCCGTCCCTGAGCGCTCTGAGACGTGACCCTAAGTGAAGGGGAGCTATATAAATGCAAGTCGTCGTTGAGATAATAAGCCTTGCGTTTGATACAGCGCCTTACCAGGTCTTGCAGACGTCTCAAAGCGCTTCACGGGATTTCACTGTCAAGCGAAGTGGCTGTGTAGTCATCAGCAAATGAGAACCACAGTGCACCACACACAGTTATGACATGACATAATATTATTTAAGACAAGCAATCTCTGCAATCTCCTATCTTCAGAAGCAGCCGAGCAGAAACAATAGGACTCAATTCTGCCCAGGGTGACAGAACGACCCAGATAAGAAAGTGGAGTCACGTTTGCCGTGCGAGAGGTTAAGTTAAATTGATTAATTAATTTAATTAAATTACCCCCACCCTCCCCCAACCCCCCAAAAAAATCAAGCAACGGATTAAAACGTATGCACAGATCAAAAAAAAAATCAGCATTTGCAGAGCAGTTGTTTTTTGAAAAAAACCTAAGCCTTTCAAACACATATGAAATATGAATCAGGTACCACTCGAAATCAAAAGAAGAAAAGCACCGCTTTTTATTGACAGAGAGAAAAAAAAGATTTGTTCGAAAGATACAAAGGGCCCACCCAGGAAAATACAAAGGATGGTTTTGCAACCGAATGTGCATTAACAACATCGCTCATGTATTTTCAGTTTGTTGCTGTAGGCTGTTGGGTCAAACGTTAATTGAAGATTTTTTTAAAAAACAAAGAGAGAGAGAGAGAGAGAGAGAGAGGGGGAGAGAGAGGGAGAGAGAGAGAGAGGGGGAAATATCGATGCCAGGAATAAAAGGCTAGAAAGAGAGCTTTCTGCAAATATTTCTTTCGGCAAAGATTTCTGCCCTTTCAGAATTTTGTCCATTTCACCAATTTATAGCAACCAGTGGCGGGGGGTGGGGGGGGTAGGAATCCTAACGTCCAGAGACCATAAAGAGTTAAATCTTATGCATAAATTTCAATCTGTTGCTTGAATATGTTTTTTGGGGGTTGGATGGGGGTGGGGGGGGGTTGATGGAGGGCTTTAATTTAATAAAATTAATGAATGCGTTTCATTTAAAGCTCTTGTACTGCAAAAGGGACTCAGTTTTCTTAACTGGAGTCGTTCTGTTACCACTACCCCTCTCCCCCACCCCTATTAAACGCAGTTTGCCAGCTGTGCAGATAGAAATTAAGTGTGGAAAGAATGAAAGATTATACTGTTTACCCTCCGCCCCACACACATGCCATACATCCCACTATTGCATTATCAGACAGATCAAGTCCTTACAAACAGAGACCAGGTTAATGCAAAGTAGATTTTATCGAGCTGTCAATTGAAGGGAGAGACCGGATTAAAATGCAAGTAACAATGTGGTCGAATTTCTTAAAGAGATTCCTGGCATCTCTTACAAGATGTTAATAGGGAGAGAAGTTTACAAGAGGAGCAACATTTTTAAGAGTGAAAGAAAGACACTCTTCCCTCCCCACCCAACCTCTCCTTGACTTCCAAAGGGAGTGTGTGTATGTGTGTTAAAAAAAACAAATCCCAATGAAATCTCAGCGATTGCTGCGGATGTTGAAAACTAGAGTATTTCTGGCACATTGAGAGAAAGATGGTGCAAGTGGCTCATTGAGACAAAGTGGTTTCAAACTCCTGATGATGCAAACTGCTTGACTGTTGATTTCAATTAGGAAGGATTTCAGCAGTCAGTCAGCCCAGCTCAGTCTCCAGCTTCTGAGTCAGGAGATTGTGGGTTTAAACCCCACATTGAGACACAAACTGAAAGCCTAGTCCGACTTTGCAACAGGGCAGTGCTGGGGCGGGAGTGAGACATGGTCAGAGGTGCTGCCCTTTGGCTGAGACATTAAAACCGAGATCCCATGGCACTGTAGAGTTTCTCCCGGCCAACAATCCTCCCAAAACAAAATTGACGGTTGGCTTTGCGGCTGTTTGTGGGGCGTTGTTGTGTGCGAATTGGCTGCCTCGTTCGCTTACAAATACACAATCACTACACTTTCCAGTAAAAGCCCTGTCAAGTGCTTCGAGACGTCCTCCTGTGCAGCTATATGAAACACAGGATTCTTGAGCTCACAAAACATACAGTCAATCCACTTTACAGTATATTCTGCAAAGCGCTTTTGAGACGTCTCGAAGACGTGATGAGGAGCTATATCAAATGCAAGGTTTATTATTATACATGTCGGACTGGAGGCATGTGCTCAGCATTATCTTCTAGCCAGCACTATTGATGGAGAAGAGCTTTCACTCTCACTCCTTCACGCACACACACAGCAGCTTCAGCTTTAGACAGTTTTAAGCACAACATTTGCACTCACTAACTGGAAAGAAAACGTGAATGAATTTTGAACTGCTACCACCACGCCACACCACAAACTCAATTCCGAGCTATTCCAACACTAAGTGAAGAAAATATCTTGGTAACACGGTGTCAAGACGTCGGTACGCAGTGCGTTACAAGTGTATTTTCAAGTATTTGAATAGGAAGAGGTTTTATTTTTCCCATGCACTGTTAAAATCGCCTTGCATTACCCAAATGTAGGGGTGGGGTAACTTAACGATTTGCGTTCCTTCTACATAAAACTTAATAATAGACCCACGACAAATAATGTCTAGGAACTGAAGGGATGACAGTCACTGTCTCTCTTTCTTTCTTTTTCTCTCTCTATCCATATACATCCACATATATATATATATATATTTGTATCTGAGAGAAACTCTAGAGCATCTCACAGCAAAGCACGTACCTGCAAGACACTGTGATCTCTACTTTAGTGGCTGGGATATTTCCTTGGATGGGATCGAAGTCGCTCACAGAAGCCATATCATCGAATTTGTCCATAGCGTCTTCCATCGGAATTCAGTAAATCCAGGCTGGCTGTTCAGCACTAACGTCATGCCACAACACAAAAAAATCCCTAAGCATCAGCTGTTTAAAGGCAAGTTGCACCTAGTGGGAAAGGCAGGAATCAAGAGTTGAGGGCTGACTGGTCACACTGATGATCCCTGTCCCTGGTGCTGAAACACTACTGCAGAGAAAGTGAGAGAAAAAAAAACATTGCACAGGGTTTATCTTGAGTAGATTTACAAAGCCCAGGACATCCTCCTAAATTACAGTTCATGGACTGAAATGATGCTCCACCCTCTGTTAACCTCACCATCGCCTGTCAGTTCTGTGCAATGCAACTGCAGACTGATCACTGGAGCATGATCTAACAGGACTGCACAGACATTCTTGCCTCTATCCAGATGAATAAAAATCACATTGTGAGATGTGTGTGTGTGTGTCTGTGCCTAGAGTATGAGAGAGAAAGAAAGAAAAAAAAAGCCTATGCAAACAATAAATTAATCCAGCTAACGATGCCTTGCTGTTCACCTGAATCTGGACAGTTTCTTGATAACTGATTTTGACAATTTGTGTATCACTGTGGTTCGAAATACATTGATAGAAGCAGTGGACCTTGCAATTCATGGGTTATTTCCCAGGGTTTTGAAAACACATGACTAAAATCACAGCAAGCTGAACTAAAATCAAATCTATTGATACACATCCACTGGCTTTGTAAATCTACTTGATAGCCCAACCAGCTCTGCAGTCAACTAATCCACAGGCGAAACCCTCCCCTAGACCAACTATTTAAGAAAAATAAACGAGCCAACATTGAAATTGCACCTCACAACATGACAACCACCCACCTTGTAGTGGTCAGCATCTTTCCTTCCAGGTAGAAATTGCTGCTTTCTTTGTATTTTGGGGCACGTTTTAAATGCAACTTTTCCTCCTCAAAGACATTTTTGTAGCACCTGATATTTTGACCAGCAAATGAAGCATGCCTCTTAGAGGACAAACGTGGTTGTACAACTACAAGCCTTGACAAAATCACTTCCTATCAACAGGCAAACTGGATGGAGGTCTATTAGCAATGTATTACCCCCCGTTAGTTTAATTAAACTGGACTACACCAGCTTTGGGAAAGCATGCAAGCATTTTATGTAGAAGCAACTACTACACTGCCAACATCACCCAAAATAACATGGAAGAAACTCTCAAAGTTTTACATCGACTGCTGGCTTGCTCTGATGCAAGTTTTGTCGTTTGATATGAGTCCAGCAACCTGTATTGATTAAAACTCATGGCACAAGAAACTGAGATCTTCAACAAACTTGCTCCATTTCCATTTGCTGTGCGCAATTGGCTGCCAATTGCCAAACAAAACTGGCTGCCGCGTTTCGCCCACAAAATATACAGTCACTACACTTTACAGTATATTCTATGAAGTGCTTTGAGACGTCTTGAAGACATGATAAGGCGCTATATCAAATGCAAGGATTGTTATTGTTACAAAACGATTTATACATACAGTATTGTAATACAATGATAGGTGCTTTTGCCTGCAAATGCATAGCGACTGCACTTCACAGCAAATTCTATGAAGCATTTGAGAACGTGATAATAATAATAATAATCCGTGTGTTTGATATAGCGCCTTATCACATCGGAGATAAAACTGTATATGAAATGCAAACATTGTGTATTATTACAATAAAATATAAACTGATAGTTCATAGTATTTAAAAAAAATTCAGCTGGAGCTGGTATCATTTAAATGCTCTAATGTTATCAGAATTTACAATTTAGGAGCTGGTCATTTCCAAATGAATTTATTCCTGTCGTTTCAAGCAGCTTTTATGGTTAAATGTAATATTTGCCCCTACTTTGCCCTTACGTGTGTAAATTTGGAAGGTAAGCCAAATTTAATTAGATACACAGGCACACATTATATATACTTAATGTGTGTGTGTGCAGCACAGTTGGCTAAAATGTTTAGTAAATAAAGGATAGATCTAACAGGGTAAAATAATATGTTTAGCAAATAATTATCCAATAGCAAATGCAGTTGTAGCAATCCTTGCATATCATTGCAATCCTTGAAATTGACCAGATTATCAAGAGTATCAAACTAACAGCAAGTCCTGGTGACGGTAATGAGATGGTGAAACCAGATGCACTTTGTTACTTGACCTTAAATTGCAAACTGGGATGAGTTGGTGGGATTACGGAAAAAAGAAATTAAAAAAAAAATTGGGGGCCTTTAAAAAAAGGACCAAATGGAGATTGCAGGATGGAATGATCACCAAAGGATGGGCAATTGGGCTCATAGATCCGATTCCCCACTTACATTTTGGAAGTTAATAACAGATGCGTTTTAAAGAGGGGTTGCGAGATCTGAACCAAATCAGGATCAGTATCCAAAAATGTACTCAGATGTGTTATTTAGACGCTCGTTATGTCAACGACTTAGCCAGGAGGCAACACAGTATTACCATTCCACTGCTAAACTCCATTAGCAAATTTGACATTTGTAAAATTGCATAAGTAGCCTAATTTATACGGCTACGGGCTTATTTGAGGGGTGGATACTCATTTCTAATGCATTTGCTTTTAGCCAAATATTGCTTTGAAATTACGCAGTGAAAAAAAATTGCAATTCTTTGTGTCGGAAAAAGGCCAAGAGCGCATAAAGCTTCTTATAAACTTCGACCGTGCCTTCGATCACCCCGCCTTTTCCCCTTCTTCCCACTACCCTCCGCCCTCTCTGATCCCGACCCCCGGCTCGGGTCCGAAATACTGATTGTCCAGCGCCTTGGGACGTCCTCCCGACGTGAAAGGCGCTTAACAAATGTAATTTTCTTGCTGCTGCTGTTGTTGTTGTTATCAGTCACAGAATTACTGATGAAACAGTGAATACTGTGGGACATGCTTTGTCGCCAAGCGCCCCCTAGTGACCAAGTTAAGTACCTGCTACAAGGACTGAGTTCCTTGCACGGAAATTAGTGCCCGACACTTATGTTACTAAGTCAATCAACACTAGACTCAGCTAACGATTGCTGGCTAAGGTAATGTAAATAAATTACAGCCCACACTTGTTGCATTTGCTCTGTTCTTGTTGTATGAAATAAGTATTGCGCTCATAGTAAATCTTGCATTTGATACGGATCCTTTTCACGTCGTCGAGATGGTTCAACGCGCTTTGTAAAGTGCAGTGACTGTGCTTTTGTAGGTGCATCCGGCAGTCAATTTGGGCGTAGCAACGTCCAACAAACAGCCATGAAGCGAATAACTAATTTTATTTGGGGGATTATCAGCCAGAACACTGGCCATTCTCCTTTCAAATACTGCCACCGGATCTTTAATATCCACCTGACTATATTGGTAGAAACTTGGTTTAGTTTCTCATCCAAAGGATAGCACCTCCGACAATACAGCACTCGCCCAGCACCACAACGAGTTCAAAACCCTGCCCTTCAGTGTTAACTTCACAGGTGCTCCAGGGATCTGTGTGTATCTGTATAACTTTAATGTTAGTGTTTCTTTGAGCATCGCAGGGTATGACCTGAAATCCACTAAAAACACCCAGACCAGAAAATAGCTAACTCTCTGCACCTGTTCCTGAAGCATGAAGGCTATTATAAGACATCCTTCCTTAGTTTGGCATTTAAAATAGGATTTGATCACACCGGTAAGATACATGAAAACTTCCCTTGTGAAATAGGAGTTGATCTTGCAAAAGCACCCTCCTTTGCTGACGCTAAATGCTCAATATAAGAATAAGTTCTCAGTAATCTCTCAAAACACAATTGGACAACTGGTTGCCACATTTCGCCCACAGTTACACAATCAATCCACTTTACAATGTAATATATCCTATGAAGCGCTTTGAGACCTCTCAATGATGTGTGATAAGGGGATATTTCAAACGCAAGGCTTATTATTATAAACATCAGAGTATTGGAAAGACACGGTTGGATTCTCCCCGCCCTCTCCCCACAAAAAAATAATCAGGTTGCCAGCACTGTATTCCTGCTATTATTTTTCTTGTTTTCAATAAATCATTTGAGCAGGGTACCGATTGTCAATCAAATGGTAAGAAATAAAATGAATGCAGTTGCAACAATAGAACCACAGGGGCAATCTAAATTTTTCTGCGTTCTATTAACTCGTTTGGGTTTTAAATGCATCCATCTAAATGCAAGATGTAAAGTGTTTCTTCAACGTGCATATTTTCTCCATTTTAAAGAATGTCCCGTTCAAAATATCCACCCACGCAGAAAGCGTTGATCAGATTAAATCGGCTGAAAAATCAACATTATCGAAAACTCGATATAATAACTTGTGACAAGTTGATGAGCGAGTGGACGTGAGTTAATTGTAGATTGAAAAAAGTTCCACTGATCCACACTAATCTAGTTTCACAGATTGAACTCTTGGACACACACGCAATGCAATCTTCATTCATTCCTTTTCCCTCAGGAAATTCTACAGTAACCCATCTCCCTGTTTTATAGCTGGAGGGCAACATATTTGTATTGTTGCTTATAAGGCATCGCCTGTTCTATAATCAATCAATAATCCTTGCATTCGATATTGCATCTTTCACATCAACAGGACTCCTCAAAATGTTTTGCAGGATCTATGTCAAGTGTAGTGACTGTTTATTTTATAAATAAGTAAACACAGCAGCCAATTTACGCACAGCAATTTCCCACAAACTACCGTGATGTGAATGACCAATTTTATTTGGGAGAATTGCTGGTCATGACACAAGGAGAAACTCCCTTGTCTTTTCAAACAGTGCTACAGGATGTTTGACGTCCACCTGAAAGGGCACAGAATGGACCCCAGTTTTAAAGTCTCATCCAAAGGATGGCACTTCTGATATGGCAACACTACCCCAGTATTGTATTTCTGTGATAGTCTTGACGATGTGCGTTCAAAGTCAAGATGTGGGGAAGTGAACCCAAACCTTCTGATTCCTAAGCGAGGGTGCTACCGACCAAATCAAATGAATTATG